CAGAGGGGGGGAGGGGGGATTAGCCTGTGGGTCAATCGGTCAGAAGTAGTCTCAAGGGTGAGAGGCAGGTCAGACTGCCGAGGATGATGGGGGTGGGGCAGGGGGCAAAAGGGTTCGGTAGTTCCTGGTTGGGAGGGAGATAATCCGCTCTGTGCTAAGGGCGCTCGGTCCGCGTCAACCAGCCCCCCCGAACCACGGGTCCCGCGCTGGGCCCCGGCCCCGCGCCCCCGGCGCTACTCACGCGCCCTCGGCACCCTGCGAGCCCACGATGAAGCCGAACTTGTCGATGCGGCGCTCAGCAAAGCCGTTGGCCTCTGAGTCTGAGCCGAGAGAGCTGAGCTCGTCGGTGGCTGCCGCGTCCGGGCCCGGGGCCAGGCTCTCCCGGGTCCCCGACAGGGTTCCCCCAGCCGCGGGCGAGCGCGGCCCGTTCTCTCCAGGGCTCTTCGCCATCACGGCCGCGCCCGCCGCCTCAGCCTCAGCGGACACCTCAGCCACCTCAGCCGCCTCAGCCGCCCAGCCACAGCCGACGACAACGACGCCCCGCCCACGCGCCGCACCCATTGGCCGCGGCAAGGCCGGGGGCGGGGCCCTAGGTCCGTCGGAGCTCTACCTCCCCCCACGCCCAATGGGGGACACGACCCCAGGGCCCGCCCACCTCCCCTAGGATGGCGCCAACCGGCCCGACGTGAGGAGGCGGGGCAACCGTACCCGGAGCCCTCCCCCTCCGGGCTGCCAATCAAGAGAGCTCACCTGAAAGCGCTCCTCAGGCCTTTTCCGGTTGGCCTGAGCCAGGTCCGTCACCTGTAAAGCCGCGCAGGCAGGGGCGGGGGGCGTCAGCTGAGGATTCGGCATCTTCCTCCTGACGCCGGGCTCCTCGCGAGACCCCAAGGACGTAGGTGAGGATTATTTTATCTATTCACTTATGAGGAGCTCTGAGGAGATTCAGGATGGGTTCGGGGACTAGCCCAAGAACATAGAAGTTCGACAGCCCCTTCCCCGTGCTCACTGCTTCTGGGGCTTTAAGTGAGGTCCTGGGAGATCTATTAAGAATTATAACCAGGGGGACGTCTGCAGTTGTGTCAACAATAAAAAATTTAGCCCGGCCGAAGTGGCTCAGTGGTTGAGCATCGACCTAGGATCCAGAAGATGGGGGTTCGATTCCCAGTCAGGGCACATGCCCGGGTTGCAGGCTAGATCCCCAGTAGGGGGCATTCAGGAGGCAGCTGATGAGTGACTCTCTCATCATTGATGTTTCTTTCTCTCCCTCTCCCTTCTTCTCTCTGAAATCAATAAAGATATATTTAATTAATAAATAAATACATAAATAAATAATTTAAATAAAAAAGAATAATCAGCGTTTATTGAGCCATGCACTGCCCCACTCTCTTGTAATCTTTTACCCCCCAACAGCTTTGAGATATAATCAACATACTGTAAAAATAGCCTGTTTAAAGTGTGTATGTAATTCAATGGCTTTAAGCCTATAGAATTGTGCAACCATCACCACAATCTAATTTTAAAACATTTTCATCACTCCAAAAAGAAATTCCTATCCATTAGCAGTCACTCCCCAACCTTCCTCCCCCAGTCCCTGGCAAGCACTGATTTGCTTTCTGTCTTTATAGATTTGCCTTTTCTGGACATTTCATATAAATGGAATCATATAATATGTGGCCTTTGTGTGTCTGGCTTATTTCATTTAGCATATAGTGTTTTCAAGTTTCATTCACGTTATAGCATATACCACTCCTTTATTCCTTTTTATGGCTGAGTAATATTCCATCATATGGATAGACCACATTTTGTTTATCCATTTGTCAGTGATGGTCATTTGGGTTGTTTCTACTTTGGGGCTATTTTGAATAATGATGCTATGAACATTGAGGTATAAAATTTTGTGGGAAAATATTTTTGTTTCTCTTGGCTAAATCCTAAAAGTGGGAATTTCTGGGTCACATGGTAACTCTATTTAAGCATTTTGAGGAACTGGCAGTCTGTTTTCCAAATTGGTCATACCATCTCTTATAATCTTTTAGCAACAAGGTAGATACTATTAGTCCCATTTTACAGCTAAGAAAAATGAGGTGCGGGGAAGTGAAGTCAGCTGCCTAGGGTCCCAGAACTAGCTTGTGACAGAGCTAGGATTTGAACCTAGCTCTTACCAACTGCTTATATTGGGAGGCATGAGCCAATTGTATCTACACAGAGTTAGCTCCCAGCAGCCTACTTCTGACCCCAGGGATTGTCAATACTTGGAGTCATAATGATAACTCCTCACTTAAGTCCAGTACCATGTTGTCATCTGACACTACTGTAGAGCTGTTAGGGAGACAAGCCCAGAGACAGGAAGGGACTGAAAGAGCCAGACCTGAGCTGCAGGGCCTGGGACAGGCTGGCTGCTAAGGGACCCAAAATGAGCCCCAAGAGGTGGGTCTTAAGACTTCAGTGATTTCACCAGTCATTTCCTTCATGCCATGTGGCCCAGACATTCTTGAAGACTTTGCTGTACAGTCTTCACATTCCATAGGCTTCTGGTTTTCCATAAACAGGGTAAAAGCAGACATGTGAGTGGGCACAGGCTATTTTAGTCTTAAGTTCTCAGTCTGGGAGGATGTTCCTCCTCTCCAGTGGCTCCAGAGTGGTGGGCTCTTAGTCCCAGTTCCCAAGAGGGGCCGAGTGGGCCTCACATCGGGATGTAGGCCTATCCCAAGAAAGGGAGAGAGGAGCCAGATACACCTGAAACAGATTTCATATGAAGCCCCCTGCCTGGCAAAGTATCTACAATCCTTTGACTCCATAATTCTGGTCTCCTAGGGTCATATCCCAAACATTCAGTTCTGTAAAGGCTCATGTACAATGATGTTCACCTCAAGGGTATTTGGGGTGGGGTGGGGGTAGGTTAGAGGGACCCAGGTGTCCATCTTTGAGAGACTGGATAGATGTTTCTCAAGTAAAGGCCCTTATGCCCCAGTTTATAATTTTCTTACATAAGACCACCCAGGATTCAAGTCTCTGCTCTGTCACTGTATGACTTGAGTAAATCACTTCTCTTTCAGCCCATTTCCTCATCTACAAAACTGAAATATTGAAAAAAAAATCTCCTTGGAAAAGTTGTTCTGAGACTTCAGTGTGATAGTATGTGCTAAGCATCTGGAGACACCCAGTAAATGGAAGCCAGGAGTGGTGGCATTTGTAGTTTGCACTAATTCATTATTGTCTGTGTGTTTCCCATCACAGCCTGTGGCTGCAGCAGAGAAGTTTACCTAATTTAACCAATGGTATATGGCTTGGGAGTCTTTGTTCCATGACTGCTTTCTCAATAACTGGATGTTCTTGTGCAAAATTGTTTAACTTCTCAGAAACTGTTTCCTCTTCTGAAAAACAGGAATGTCAATAATTACTTGAAGTCAGTGAGCTATGTCACTGAAGCCTCCAGCACTTAGTAGACACTCAATAAATGTTAGGTTTCTTTACTTCAAACTCCAGAGCTCTTGAACTTATTTGATATTACTCTAGTGAACAAAAGAGATGGAAGTCCTGGCTCAACAGAGTTTATATTCTGGGGAAGGAAGGAGAACATGAACAAGCATAGAACATTTGTCAGGTAGTGTGAAAAGGGAAAAAAAGGCAGGGTGAGGTATAGAGAATGCTGGGGGCAGAGGTGGGGCTTGTGGAGGAAGGTGGAAATGAGGCAGCCTCTCTGTCGGGACCTGGGAGAATAGTGTGAAGGAAGTAGGGCAGCAAGTGCAAAGCCCTTGAAAGAGAAGCAGGCTCAGATGGTGTGGTTACACTATAGTAAGAAAGCAGGAGTGAATGAATGAATGATCCCAAGGAATGGTCTGCAGAATCATGTGGTTCACTGGGGTACAAAATGAGAGGCCTTTGGCAATGCTGTGAAACATCCTGATGGACTGGCTGCTATAGGGGTTATTTTGAGGATGAGATGCTTGACCTGGGCTACAGGAATATATTGATAACCTGGAGTCTCATCCTACTGTGGTCATTCCTGAAAGTTTAGCCCCTGGGCAGTCCATCTTGATATGTGGAGCTTGCATATACTCAGGATATCGGTCAGATATCCAGATGTGATAGCTTTATTTGTAATGACAGCAGTGGTTCAGAAGGTGGTCGGCTGGGACCCAATAGCCTATGATGAGTAGGCAAACTGTAAAGCTTCTTTATCCCTACACTGAGAATAACAATTAAGAATCTTTTCGTCCAAGTGGCAGAGAACCCAACTCAAATGGGCTTAACTCAAAACTGCCTTTAGTGGGTGCCATACCTTCGAAAAATTCAAAGGTAAGTAAGTTTCAGGAGCAGTTTGAACCAGAGGTTGTCACCAAGGCTATCAGCCTCATTTTCTTTTTTTCTCCTTTTTGTTCTTCCTGAGGTCGCTTCACCCTCAAGCTAGAGCCCCTCATGGCAGCAGCTTTCGGCTCACATCTGTCTTCCACACATCCACACAATGAATGACTCTTCTGATAGCTTCTGCTCAACAGTGAGGAGGCTGCATTCTTTTATGTATTATCTGTTTATATACACGTGCTTATCCTTAATCTAATCACAACATCTCTGGGGTTGGGAGCACTAACTGGCTTAATTGAATTCAGCTTAGAACAATAGTGCCTTCTTTAATGATATAAGGAATAGGAATTTATCTCGTCTTGCTTCATGGATTATATGGCTCAGGGGTACCTAGAATTACTCACTTTTTAAATAGAACAATGTAGGATGGTGAAGAGCAAACCCCTAAATCAGATGGTTAATAATATTAACCTCAAGATCTTACATTTTACTTTTATTTATAAAAAGGAAACAAAAGCCCGGCCAGGCATGGCTCAGTGATTGAGCATTGACCTAGGATCCAGGAGATCCTGGTTCGATTCCCGGTCAGCGCACATGCCTGGGTTTCAGGCTTGATCCCCAGTCAGGGACCTGCAGGAGGCAGCTGGTCAATGACGACCTTCTCATCATTGATGTTTCTGTCTCTCTCTCCCTCTCCCTTCCTCTCTCTGAAATTAATAAAGATATATTAAAAAATACATTAAAAAAATTAAAAGTAAACAAAATCTTATCTACTCGTATGTATACTCTTAAACATGAACTATATTGTACTTTTTTTGGTTTTTTGAATTTTGAATTACAGGGATAAATGAAATATTACATATAAGGATTGCTATAATTATAGTACACTATATATTTCAAGTATATATCCTAACATAACTTTTATATATATATTCTCTAATGCAATACTATAATTTTATTTTTTTAGATATACCCTTGTTGATTTCAGAGAGGAGGGGAGAGGGAGAGATGGAAACATCAATGATGAGAGAGTTATTGATCAGCTGCCTCCTGCACGCCCCCCACTGGGGATCAAGCACAAAACCCAGGCATGTGTCCTGACAGGGAATCAAACCGGGATCTCCCGGATTGTAGGTGATGCTCAACTGCTGAGCTGGCCAGGTACTATAATTTTAAAAAGTGAAATGGGTCTAATCACTTCGGGCTACATGACAAGTGTTCATTTTGAGCAGCTGGCGCAATTGAAAGTGAAATTTCTTAACATCTACTATTCATGGCGCCCTCTTTGAGCAAGTCTTTAAAATTATGGTGACTGCCAGCCGGGCATGGCTCAGCGGTGGAGCATCGACCTGGGATCCAGGCGATCAGGGTTCGATTCCCGGTCAGGGCACATGCCCAGGCTTCGGGCTTGATCAATGACTCTCTCATCATTGATGCTTCTCTCTCTCCCTCTCCTTTCCTCTCTCTGAAGTCAATAAAGATATATTTTAAAAAATAATAATAATAAAAAAAATAAAATTACGGTGACTAAGAAAGCACCAAGTTGTTCCTAGTTTCCCAGCAGTGCCACACCAGGAACATTTGTCCCCAATTCACAGTCCAGTCTGGTGAAGCAGTGAGGGCAGTGTGGTCACCAGGAATGGAAGAGCTGCTTTGGCCTTTCAGAGCCCTCACTGGCTACTTGACCTTGAATCTACCTCATCCAAACAACGGGGCAGATAATCCACAGAGGGTGGCGATCAGAACAGAAAGCTGTGCAAGCAAGGAGCTGCCTACATGCTGCAGTCCCTAAACAAGAAATACAGAGTGCTGGGCCGCATGCTGGGCCTGTAGCCTGACAGTTACAAGGCTGCCTTGTGGTCAATGGGCCTTCTGCAGCTGAGCCAGGACAGATGTTCATTCAGGAGCTCTGAGCAGCTCAGTTTGGACCCGAGAGGGTGGCTCAAAGGTCCCATTCACTCACATTCCACCCAGCAGCATTCCTGGCCTTGTTATAGCAGGACTGCTGGATCTGCCAATCTGTGGAGGAGTGTGCCCTATCCATCTCCAGAACCAATCCCAGGAAGAAAGGAGAGCTTGGCGGGTGGTACTCCTCTAAGTCTTCTGATCCCTTCCCTCTTGGAATGAGACCCAGATGATGTTCAGGGAGATTTTTGCTGTTGGCCACGGAGAAGCAACTAGGAGTGGGCTCATTTTAAGCACCCAAACCACGGAGCCTACTTCAGAAAGCCAAATTTTAGCCTGGGCCCCTGGAGAAAACTTCCAGCAACCAGGCAGGAGGCAAATGTCAAAAAGGGTGAGGAATAACATCCCATAGACCAAGTTAAAAACGTGGTCCAGCAGTTTGTAATAGGAGTCATACAACTGGCACTGTGGAAGGGCCACCTGAGCCTTAGGTCTGGCGCTGGGAGCTCTGAGCTTGGGGGGGGTGGGGTAAGGTAGGGTGGTGACTGAAGTACTCGTTCTACTACACTGGGAACGGCCTCACCTCTCTGATGCCTGGAGATGACCTCATGGGGCAGCCAGGAGGAATGGAGGGACTGCAAAGAAAAGGCTTTGGGAACTCTTGGGGAAAACACAAGTGAGATGTTCAGAATGAAATCAGCTTTAGATCTGAAACCAGGAATGGTTATCAACAGGCTTTCACCTTCCTCCCTCTGAACACCTACAGCAGCATCTACCTTCCTGTGATTGCACAATTCCAAAAATAACAGCCTGTGTCTCGCCCTTATTAGGGGGCAAGGACTGTGACAAGTGTTTTATACACATTTTCTTTTCATCTTCACTGTGCCACTGTGGGTATATGACTTACCCTCTCTGTGCCTCAGTTTACTCAAGGGTAAAAACAGGAACACCCAGTAGGCAGAGATTCGGAACACAAGGATTCAACATGCCATTGCTGACTTTATAGATTGACAGGTCCAAGTCCCAAGAAATGCAGGTAGTCTCAGAGCTGAGAGTCAACCCCAGCTAACAAGATAGCAAGGAAACAGGGACCTTATCCTACAACCACAAGAAACTGAATTCAGCCAGGAACAAGAAGGAGCTTGCAGCAGATTCCCCCATCAAGCCTCCAGAGGTAATGCAGCCCAGCCAGTATGATCTCAGCCTTGTGAGACCTAAAGCAGACGACCCAGTCATGCCATATCTGGACTTCTGACTTACAGACTATGAGCTAATAAAGAGGTGCTGTTTTACCAAAACAAGCAAACAAACAAAAAAACACAAGAATACTCACATCAGGATTACATGAGTTAAAACTGATAAAGTATTTAATAAAGGACAAATTGGTTAAACTTTATACTCCTTGGAATAGTGCATGGCCTCAGCACAATTAAATACTTTTTTTTTTATAAAGAAAGCAGTTGAGTGGAACTTTAATTTTTTTTTTTTTTAAATATGCCTTTATTGATTTGAGAGAGAGGAAGGGAGAGGGAGAGACATAAACATCAATGATGAGAGTCACTGATTGGCTGCCTTCTGCTTGTCCCCCACCAGGGTTCAGGCCTGCAGCCTGGGCATATGCCCTGACTGGGAATCGAACCATGATCTCTTTAATTTTTATTTATTTATTTTAGAGAGAGGGAGAAAGATTTGTTATTCCACTTATTTCTGCATTCATTGTTCGACTCTTGTATGTGCCCTGAATAGGGGGGTTGAACCTGCATCCTTGGTGTATTGGACGATGTTCTAACCAACTGAGCTACCTGGCCGGGGCCTTTTTTTTTTTTTAAATCCTCACCCAAGGATATTTTTTCCATTGCTTTTTAGAGATAGTGAAAGTGAGGGAGGTAGGGGGGAGGAGAGAGAGGAACATCGATGTGAGAGAGACACATGGCGTGACTGCCTCCCACACACGCCCCGACCAGGGTCAGGGATCGAACCTGCGGACCCTTCAGTGCACAGGCAGGTGCTCTACCCACTGAGAACACCAGCCAGGGGTTAAATACATTAAAAAACAAACCAAAAAGCCCTCATTATGTTCCTGTGCTCGCTCAAGGTAAGCCACCTGCCCAAGGTCAAAGAGCCAATGTGATCAGTGGTTCCAGGCCTGCAGGAAACCGCTACCCTCAAGTCTCATCTGTGTGTCTTACTGCTGCTCACTGACCCAGGAACTGCATCCCACATCACCCTTGTTCTTCTGTGGTCCTGCTGTGTGAAGACATCTGTATTAGTCCAGTTAAAACACACGGGCTAGGCCTTTAGAATCCAAATGTTTAAAAGGATAATAAAGATGTATCTCCCAAGAAAGATTCATGAAAGACTTGATGGTGCCAATAAGTTAGTTAAAAGCCCAGCATTTCTCAGAACAGAAGAGCCGCAAGGCACCATGCCATGCTCCCCCTGCCTTGAGTCTGGACAGGGTGCAGGTAGCCAAGAGACAAGTCTTATGACACTGATTTCACAAGGGTCCAAAAGGTTTATTAGACAGCCTGTGGCAAAACACAAAATGATTAATGACGGTAACAAGCATATGCTCTCAGCCAAGTGCTAATGAGCACTATGCCACTATCCTGCATAACATCCCTGGGTTCCCATTTTCTAATGGGCTGCCAGAAGAAATGAATCCCCTCAATCAAGACTCAAACACAAAGAAATTCCAGAGACCACTGGGGAGGAAACTGTAGGACAATTTAAATTTCCAAACTAAGAGGGAAACAAATGTACAAGGCAGGGTGTCTTGGGTCTATGGCAGAGGTGAGGGACAACAGCAAAACAGCAGTGGCTGGGACCTGACAGGTTTCTCTCTTCTACTTCTTCCTCCCTCCTCTCTCCTTGAGGGCCAAGTGGATGATGGCACCATTGGCCATGTTGTAGTAAGCCAGTGAGTTGGAATCCTTGATGAAGATGCCCTGGAAAACAGAGAGTGTGCCTTAGCACGGGGCAATCTGGCCTTGAGCACACTGTGCAGCCTCACTCCCAATGTGTTTAACATTCTGAACTTAGTGAACACAGGGGCCTGAAGGAAGGCTAGGAGCAAGGGGATACAGGCACAGGGCAGGACTGAAGATCTCTGGTTCCTCCCAGAATGCTTTGCTTTTCCTTCCTTCCTACCAAGCCATGCTCTTCCCTTTTGTCAACTCTCCAAGAAGTCGGCCCTGACCAACCCCATGGAATTTTAAATCCAAGACCTTTAGAGATCAACTAGTCAAACAGCCTCATCTGCAGAGCAGGAAACTGAGGCCCAGAGTGGGGATATGTCAAAGTCCAAAGTGGGAGAACATAGCAGCCCCAAGAGGCCTGGTGGGCACCAGGCCTAGCTGGACTTTCACCTCCGTGTCCATGTACAAAGCCAGACTACTCAAAACCACACTGACTGGGATGGCTCCACCACTGGAAGCACTCCCCAGTAGAGGACTCCCGAGACTTGTCCTCAGATGTCCACCCTAGTCAATGAGGCAGAAAGTTTTTTGGACCCCACACAAGGCTATATTGGGATCCCACTAGAGCCTCACCTTGTCAGGCTAACCTGCCCCAGCACTCCCTCCCAGCCAGCATCATTACCTCTAAGATGGACTCATATGGGTTCCACGGATTTAGCTTCTGGGACAGCAGAGGCGTTAGAATCCAAGGGTTAGTACTAGACACCCAACTCACCTCATACTGCAGCTTCTGTTTCCCTGCAGGCATGCCGGTGGCTTCATGAATTTTCACCTTGATAACAGAGACCTGTGGGACCAAGGAGAGGACATTCACCCCCTTGCTAAGGTCAGCTGAAAGAAGCTGCTCCCTGCCCCCTTGGTTCCCCTGCAACAACTCATACCTGGTCTGTGAGTGGGAGGGTGAAGACCAACACCTGTCCATTCAGCTTCCATTCCGTCTTATCCTGCATGTTGGGCACTTGGACCTTGATGGACACTGGACCCTGCAAAACAGGAGGTGGCCATTATGCCTGGGATCCCTGAGCCAGTAAGGAACTATGCTCTCCTAGTGTCTTCCTGGTATCTAGACAATGTCACCTCTCCATCTGGGCTCCTGGATTCTGGCCCCTGATGCTACTTGTGACACTGAACAAGATTTGGTTTCTCTTCTTTAAAACAATCTCCACCCTGCCTCCTGGTGAGTCTGAAGCTGAAGAAGTGACATGAAAATGCTCTGCAAACCCCAAGAACTACCACAGGGGGAAAGAATATGAACTGTGAAATCAGAACACTTGGGTTGCCAACTCAGCTTCCCTGCTAACTAGGTCTCTTTGAACCTCAACACCATGTCTATAAGGCAACTGATCACAACCACTACACGGTATTGCTCTGAGCACTAAATGGACATGTGCCCACATAATATGCAGCTTTACCCTGGCACTTGAGTAGTCAAGAGACGGGAAACACTATCAGAAAAAAGCAAACAAAAAAAGACTTGGTCAAATGCATTGGGGAGTGGGGCTGAGACTGTTCCTGCCTCCTCACTGGAGCCTAACAACTTTCCTAGATTGGAAGTGCCAAGATTCCCACCTCCCCTTATTTCTAGCACCCCAACAGGGTCCCCAAAACAAGCAGACCTCCTAAGGCTGAAACTGGAGAAGGCCACAAAGTAATTAAGAACTGCGCCCAGGAAGTTTTCAACTGGTGTACTGCAAGGATTTTTAGAACATGCAATACCTGACTATTTAGTCAGGGGCACTAACCTCTTTTCCCATAGACTGTCAAACAAAAAAATAACGCCAACACAACAATAGCCATTGGGTGTGAATGAATCAAAATCATGCCCTTTTTTTGTCAGATTGGGAAAAAATGTATATGTATTTTTTGGAGTGCCACAAAATCTTAGTAATTAGTTTGTGTGTGCCATGAGATGAAAAAGGTTGAAAATCACTGCCCCCTAGATCGAGGGTCCCTTTTTACACACAGGCCCTCCTGTCTGTGCAACTGGGTCCCCCTGCTGGCAATGGTTCACACTGGGGGACAGCCAATGCTGTTTGCTTCTCCAACTGCTGGCCCCACATTTAGTGTGTGCTCAGAAGCCTTCATAGGCCTCACTGGCTGACATAGGCCCTGGAAGCCAAAACAATGGGAGCAGAATAGGGTAGGCCAGGGAGTGTGTGATTGGGGCAGGACTGGGCTACCCAGCTAGACACTCTCGGCCACAGGCAGCATTCTGGGATCATATACCTTGTTTCTGCGAAGGAACTCCTCCTCGGGCATGAGACTATCCTCCGTCTTCAGTTTCTTGGAGGCAGGTTCATCTTCCATAGGAGGGGGAGGGTGGACAGGGGGCATTGGGGCTGGAGCTGGGACAGGTGCCACAGGTGGAGCGGGCACAAAGGCTGGAAGGACAAGAATAAACAGCTGTGTGAGTGGGGGAAGGGGCCCAGGACTTAAGGCTGGTGAGAAGTTAGAGGGGAGATTGCAAAGGTTTCCTGTTTCTCCCAGTCAGAGGTGTGAAGGGCTACTCCTTGCTGAGTCTGGCAGCCAGCCGGTTCCCTGGCAAGGGGACCTGGGAAGCTGCCCACATTGGGCAGCAGGGGACTGGAAAAGATGCAGGATTGATGGATGGAGTGGGCCTGCCAAAAGTAATCACTGTCAGGCCTTTGTGCCTGCCTAGGGCCTCACTCCTCTGGGTGCACAGACCCCAGCTCTGCCACATCAGACCATCTCCCCCAAGAGTCACGGCTCCCTGGCTCCCAGCTCAAAGAACTCTCACATGGGGAAGCCATGGCTCTCTTCTGGGTGAGACCCCCAGCTGAACAGCTAGTACCACCATCAGCCACTGCTCTGCTCACAGTGCTTGGCCTGTAGTCCTGACCAAATGGCCTAGAAAGCAACATGAGAGACACTGACCTGTTGGCACAATCATGGGGGGTGGGCGGGGTGCCATGATTGGAGGGGCTGAAGGAGGCATTGGCACCACATTGATCCTGGGTGCGTGGATGATAGGCGGCATGGGAGCGATCACTGAGCCCGGGGGCAGTCGGACCACTGAAGCCATCGGGGGCCGGGGCATGACGGGTACTGCGGACACAACTGTGGTACGGACAGGAGGTGGCATCTGTGGGGGAGAAGCGACCCAAAGTCACAGAAAGCCAAGGCTGGAGTCACAGCTAGCAACTGGTCACCTATAGACTTTATGGATGGGGCTGGACACCTCCAACTCAGCTCCCTGGGGCTGAGAGATTGCAGCCTCACCCCACGCTCTACCAGGAACTTCGCCAAGAGAGGCCCAGGGGCGACACTCTTTCCACTTGGGACTCAACCAGCTACTCATGGCAGACACTGAGAGAGCCACTGAAGAGACTGACCTTGACTTAGCCTCCTGGAGATGAGCCAGCAGTCCTCAAAGACCCATTAAGCCCTGCAGCCCTTCTCTGCCCCAAGCCTGCTTTATACATCTGCCACTTGCCTCCCTCTCTGTTCTAATCCTCCACCACACAAAGAAGGTCAGGCTAGAGGTTCTCACTTCCAATTAAAGGATTCTCTCTATTTAACCCACTCAGGACCTGCCCTTCTCAGCCAATAGTATTCAACCCCAAGAACCACGCTCTAAAAGATCAGGGACAAGGTGGTTGTTGGCTTACTGCTGGTGGCCGGGGCACTGAGGTGATGGGTGGAGCTGAGCTGGGTATATTAGTGGCTGAAGACGGAGGTGGTGGCTGCTGGGGGATTTCGTTGGGCTTGCTGGGGCCAATCTTCTCTTTGGTATCATCTTCTGGCACCAGGCCCTTAGCCTTGTGGATGGCCTCGATCTGCTCCTGGAGGGTGATATTGGCCTGGGCAGCCTGTTGGGTTCGAGCCATGCTGCCTGAGTGGCCATCCCAGGTCACCTGCAAGGGAAAGCAACACCACAGCTTGTCAGGGCTCCTAGAACTGAGCCCAATGTGGGAGTCTGAGGGCAGGGAAGGTTCTAGGATATATTCAAACTGCACCTTTTCCTCTGGCTTCTGGATCTCCTCTTCGCCAATCTTCTTACCAATGGCTGTTTCCTCTACACCGAAGATGTCGGTACGCCGCTCGGCCAACTGTTTCAAGCTGCTCTCGATATCCAGACCTGGATACAGTCAGAGTGGAGAAGGGACAGAAAGGGAACCTAAACCAGGTGCCCTTCTGACAAGGCAGCAGCTCTCCTGGTGCAGGGTGGAGGCTGGTCCCATGGGACAAGGCTGACTCCAAGCCCCAACCCAGCATGCCTATCCTCTGAGCCTGAGGAAGGCTGCCCAATCAGCACTAAAGCAGCCTGTAAACTAGAGTTGTCTAATTCCTTGACTTATGAAAGGCAATTGAGAGGACAGGGTCCCATGAGCAGCAAGTAGCAGAGTCAGGACTAAAAGCCTGGTCTCTTCCCTCTGGGACAGTTTCCTCCCTGTTGCTGCTTCTCACACAGCAGTCACAGGAGCACTGTGTTGTGTCTCATTTCCAGGCGCTCAGTGTACTTCAGTCATCAGAGCCCTCATTCTAAGAGCCCGAAGAATGAGCACCCGTCCCAGCTACAGTCAGATCTGGCTCTGAATGTCAATGGGCACATGCCATCCTATTCAGGTGTCTGGTTTTGGAGGAGTTCTACAGATAGTCACTCTGGAAAATGGGGAGTTCTTCTGTAGTATCACAGGCTGAATCAAACCTTGAAAGCTTTTGTTGAGCTCAATTGTTGCTTTCTATGTTTGCTTAAATCAAGTTAAACATAGTCTAGTGATTCCCATGGGTCAAAGTGAGTCAGGGCTGAGTCAGAAAAGGGTGTGGACTGGGTGGGGGAACCCCCAACTCACCTGGCGCATACACCTCATCATCGCTCTGCTTCTCACGGATGGAGCGATCTCGCTGCTCCAGCCAGCGGGGGTCGAGAAGCCCAATGCGCATATGTTCCTGCATTTTGCTGGCAGGGATCTTCTCCCCGGTGATGGGGGACACAAGATATTCATCTGGAGCAGGGGCTGGAGGTAGGGGCTTGGAAGCTAAAAGGAAACAGATGCCTGAGTGAGAACACTGGGTGGCAGCCTGGGTTAAGAGGGTGTTGTTTCATTCATGCATCATTCACTCAAGGTACATCCATTCATTGCCACACTGTACCTGGCACTGTGCAAGTTGTCAGGGCACCAGGGATGACTACTCCCTATTACCCACTATGAGGTCTGGGACAGAGGGGCTATCAATACCTTTAAAAAGCCACCTCAAGCCATCCTAGAAATGGACAGGACTGAGGAACATATGAGGACAGGAAAGCAGGCCCTACCTTTGGGGTCGTAGTCTTTCCGGACAATGACCTGGTCTGGAGTCGGGGGCAGAGGAGGTGGCATGGGTGTCTCTGGGGGTGGGGGCACTTTCTGTCCTTCTTCTTCATCATCTGAACCCTGAAAAGCAAAGCAGTGGCAGGATTCAAAGAGGGGTGGAGAAGCCACCTCCCTGCAGCTGAACCCTGGTGGCTCTCAGGGTGGCAAATTGCCTAAGCCCCTGTCAGCCAGTGTCCACGTGCTAAGCCTTCCCGGGCAGCCGAGGCCAGCCAGCAGCCAGCCAAGCTGCTTCCTCACAGCATGAATGGGAATGCTAGGGGCCATGGTGCTAACATTCCGCCCAGGCATTTCCAGCAGCTGGCACCAGGCAGTCCCAGGAGGCCAAGGGCACTTAACATGCCAGGGAGGGGGTGCAGGGAGCAAGTCGGTGCTTGATGGTTGCTGCTCACAGAGTAATGCTGGGAGGGAGGGAAAAAGTCAATTCCCACAGACAGAGGGGCCTTTTCTTCTCAGGCTGTACACAAATTCTTTCCAATGGAAGGAGAACAGCTTGGCTCTGGAGCCTCTATGCCTGTTTGGAGGGTCTGGTTCAAAGAGGGTAGAGGTGACCGAAAGGAAGAAAAGGCTATACTTAGAAAAGCTCTGGGAAATGCTGATTTGGGCTTAAGCTCAAACGCATCAAAGCTTGAGGTGTAGAGTGTTCCCTAACTGAAAGCTGACATAGGGGTAGAGAGGAATAGGGCCTCTGGGCAAAGGGGGAAGGTCACGGAACAGGGCTGGCACAGCCTTTAGATCCTTGCTTGTGAATGAATCTTTTTGTTGCCCAAGCTGGAAAGAGGCTCTGGGCTGCCTGGGTTTGGGCAGCTGCTCAGTCAGGATGCCTTATTCAGGACCCACATCTCCCTTCGAGGTTCAGAAGGGAGCTGGACTTCATCCCGCAGGCCATCCCGGGGTTTACCTCGTCCATGTCTTGCACTTGGGTGTCCTGGTCCAGCTGGGAAGGTGGCTCCTCTGCCTTCTCCTGCTTCTCGTCCTCTTCATCAGACTCAACCTCCATCTCCACCTCCTCGCTCTCCCCAAACTTCTCATAGCGCTCCTGAATGAGGATTCGAGCCCCCAGCTCCTCCGGGGTGGTAGGTGGAGGGAAGTTTCCTAGTCGAGAGAGAGCTCGAGTCAAAGGGAGGCTTCCCCGGATGCTCCTTATCAAAGGCCCACCTGTCTACTCCCTCACACTGTGAGCCCCCCAGGAGCTGGGGCTGATTTCTCTCCTATCTCCAGAGCCCACCCAGAGTCGGACACAAAAAGAATTTGTTGAATTAAGATTAACTGGGACAATGTGGTAGAAATTAAGTACTCTGTGAGCAAAGATGAAACAGACACTGCTAAAGCCCTCTGAGGAACACTGTTCTCTGGGAACACCTGTACGAGCTCTACCAAGACGCCTCTGAGCTCCTGGCTTCCCATAACTCCTGAAACTTACCTTGTTCATTGGGTTGGAAGTCCACCGTCTCCACCACCACAAAATCATGCCAGTCAATCTGTGCATAGGCCACCCGCTCCTTCTCCTTCTCCTCTTCTTCCTTCTTCCTCTCACGCTCCTGGAACTTGGCCCACTCCACTCGGTAACACACCTGAAGAGTTTGGAAATAGCAAGGTGCTGAGCTGAATCAGGGCTTCTGATTAGGATGTCACCTCCAAGGTCTTTAACAAAGCCAGCATCTACTTCAGAACAGGAAGGAGGCTGCTCCGCCTACAAAGGGGGAACTCCATGGAGTGAACTATGATATATGTAACCTAGTTTCAGCCAGGCCCAGAATTTGGACAGGATAAAAATTCTAAATGCCACAGAAACCTTCTGCCTAGGCCCCAAGGCCAGTGATTTGTTATAACCTCAGCATTTTCTAGCAAGGAGCTATGCTCAGAGAGTAGCTAGCTACCTCCCAAGAAGTCTGTGTGACAACCAGTAGAGGCAGTCTGAGGGCCTGAGAAACAAGACTTCATGGGGCCATCCAAAACAGCAAGCACCAATATGCCTTCTGTCTTCAACTCTGAAAACCTGGGACTACAAAAGTCATTGTCACCAGAGAACCTGTTCCAAAGTCAGCTTCCAGTGAGGGTAGAAAAGAGGGAGACCTAGTGAAGCTGAGAGCAGAGCAGAAAGTTGGAGAACACAGAATCTAGGTTTCTTTGACTTTTGTAGCCATAGGCCTTTCTTCCCACCACTCCTGTGCCTAGAACCTAACAAGGTACTGCCACAGAGATTATTTACAATTGTGAAACAGAACCCACACATTGTAACTTCCACATTAGTAACTAGTTATAATAAAATGAGTTTACCTGGTCCAGAACTTCTCGGGGGTTCTCAGCCTCTTTCTTGAGCTTTGTAAATAAGCCTTTGGGCGGAATCAAGATCTGAAACACAGAAGAGTTATTAAAGCAACTGTCAGTGCAGCACAACACAGGACAAAGAGGCAGCCTTCCTGAGCCTATGGAAAGGCACAGGAGGGAGAGCGTGGGATTCTGGATCCCAATCCCAGCTCCACTTGGCTGTGTAACTTTGGGCAAGTTATTTAACTTCTGCAACTTGGTTTCCTTCTACCACCACTTAAATTGGCATTATCAACTTAAAAGGTTGCTGTAAGAATCGGCAGGAAAGTATGCAAAACTATGGGCAGGTCACTGCACATGGTCAGTGTGTGACAGCTGTTTTCAGGGTACGGATCTGCTCCTATCCTTTTGCACATGCTACCAGGCCTCCCCTGACTATCCCACTTAAGATTGCAGCCCACTGGCCCCACTTACCTACATTTCCATACCTTTTCTTTTTCTCCATAATAATCACCATCTGACAATACACTACAATTGCACTTGCTTGTCACCCCCTCAATAGACCAGAAAATCCACAAAGACGAATTTCTTTTTTCACGATTATATCTCCAGCACCTGGAACTGTGTCTGACATAATTTGCTGAAATTGCAAATGATGGCTTTTTTCAAAATAGCTGGTCATTCCAACTGCCCTAACATTATCTAGTACCACTGGCAAAGTGGCTCAGTTTTACTCCATCCTCTCTGTACCTCTACCTCGGGAATCAATCTGCTCCTAGAGGTCCCATGGTTAGACAGACACCAGTGCCCTCAAATGAGAGTACTAAATGTCAACACCCAAGTTCTGAGGGAAAAGGAACAGGAAAGTAACAGAACAAAAAGAAATCTGGGAACCTTTAACCCCAGAAGCAGTCCACTAGGAGAAATTAACCCAGGACTCACTTAAAGTAACCCTCTGGTCTTGGACTTTCAGTGACTATTATTTTAGCAACTAGCTTCTGGATTTGATCATTTTCTAAAAACACACATTTTTATAATTCTTTCTCCTTATATACTTAGAGTGATTTCAGTTACAGAAGAATCATTAGGATTCTTTTCATATCAGATCTTTAACATATTATTTCTAGATATCCTGACCATGACACTAAAAGGAAGACAATCTCCACCACATGAGTAGCAAGAAAAACATAGCACAGGGCAATCTGTATCAGCATACTTTGCAATAAGTTAACAATATGATCATTTTAAAAAACAGTATTCACAGATTCTTTGATTGCAACAACGCAGTATGATAATTACGATCTTGGGGCGTGGAGTAAAAATGCCAGCTCTGTGACCTAGTAGCTGTGTGATCCTGGCCAAGACAACGTCTCCATGCCTCACTTTCCTCTTCTGTAAAATGAGTATAACAACGATGGCTATCTTATAGGTTATTAGGGATTAAATGAGAAGATGCCGCAAATGTAAGTATCAAATACTGGCTCTACTTATGTCAAACTGTTTCCCAATGCCTACTGAAATTATATTTTTAATTCAAGTACTTTGTAGGGTAAAAAACAACAGGTTTCACAGCCAAATGTTGGATTAAATCTCACTGTAGCTACTTATTAGCTGAGAGACCATGAGTAAGTGACTTCACCTCTTTGAGCCTATTCCTGCTTTTGAAAAAAGAAAACACCTCATGGATTTTTGTGAGGATTAAATTAGGAAATAGGAGACAATTATTAAGGGCTTACTACTTTCTCAGGCCCTATGCTAGGCACCTGAAAACTTAAGTGTACTTAAAAGCAGCTAGCACCACTTGGCCTTGTCACATAGCAGGGACTCACCTAATGGCAGTTATCAATTACACATTTCATTTTTCTTTAGAAACAGCAGTCAGTGTTGCATTTAAAAGGGAACACTGAAGAAATCAAGATTTCACACTGAAATAAAATGTTAACATCTACCCAGGGGCCCCGCACAGGAACACTGTCTTTGTAGACAGTGAGTGGAAAAATGCTTATGGTAAATGCCTTCCTTCCCTGGGCCCAGCACCCCAGCCTGCACCCTGACCAGACACCTTGGTATACTGTTCCACCAGCTTCGTGAAGTAGTTGAAGAGGCTGTGCTGTGGGCGGAGGAAGTCAAATTGGTAGTTGCGCTGCTCTTTCTGCATCAGCTGGGTCAGAAACTGGCGCCCATTCCTGGCCACAAACTGAGCTGTCAGCTTCACCACATCCAGATCAAAGGCTGAGATGGAGGGGGGATCTGCGATGAACTCAAACTCAGGAGGGGGCTCTTTGGGCACGATGGTCTCCTGGATCACCTGGGCTTGGACCTAAGATGCAGACGATAATGTGAGGCAAGAGGCACAGGGGTGGACTAGCTCCAGAGTGGGGCTCTATGCTTCTGTTAATGATGTGTACACCACTGGCACATGGTGTAAGAGAATCCTAACACACAAGAGCAGCAATTTCTTGGCCAACTGTGGCCTCAACAACCTGAAAGGCTTCCAGTGAGATCCATGCCCCTCTTTATCTCTGCTGCTGCCCTGAAATCAAAGGCCAAAACTGGGTAGGAGATCTGACAGGAACACGGCTTATAAATCCCAACCAAGGGCAAGAGAGGATGCAGTAGATCCTCTTTGTGTACACAGGACCCCACTGGATGAAGAATTTCCAAATCTGTTACGCCATCTGGTCTCCATACAAACCATGAGGTAAAGAAAATAGGTACCCTGAGTCCTTTTTATAGATGAGGAAACTGAAGTAGCCTGAGGCCCTAAGAGTAGTAAATTGCAATGCAAGGTCTCAGAACCTACGTCAACCTTTCCTTCCCACTGTAAAACAAGGAGTGGCCTTTGCTACCATGGTTAAGGAGTAGAGCAGTCTAGGCCTACAAAGGAAGCAAAATGTGCCAGCACTTCCTGTCCTCACTGACAACCTAATTATCCCTAGTTCTGGGCCTAATGCTGAGGGGGTATCACGGCAGGCCAAATGGGGGGCTTGCAAAAGTAAGACAGAATGATGGCACAAGAAAGGGCCCATGAGCCTTGGACAAGGAAAAGAGAAGGGGCTGAGAGCTTGGACTTTAAGTCCTGACTCTGTGGCCTTGGGTAAATCACACTTCCCTGAGCCTCAGCTCTCTCAACTGTAAAATGATCACTTTACTGGCCTCCTCATGCAGCCCCTGTGAGGTGCCAATGAGACAAGCCCCCTAAACCCCTGAGCACAGAGCTTGACAAGCAGTGCTAAAGAAATGCCAACTGTCAGCAGTACTTTGCTATCTGAGCCTTAGCTTCTGCCTCTGTAAGAGGTAAGAACCTCACATCTCTCCCTGGGTGGCTGTGCGGTTTGGATAGCAGAGTTCATTATCCTCCCTTCCTCCCTCCTGCTTCTCAGGCCTGGGGAAGTGAGGAGAGGGACTGGCTCCAACCTTCTGTGGCAGCTGCTGCTGGGTGGCTTGCTGCTGCTGCTGCATGACCTTGGGGATGGCGGCTGAGGGTTCCTGAGCCTTCCCCTCCTTGAACTCGCTGACCTTGTGGCGGTAGTAAGCATGGTAAGGGTCATTGGGGTTGAGAAAGTTGAACTTGGGGTTGTTGATCTCATTCTGTCGAATCCTAGCTTCAAATTCAGGTCCATTTCTAGAAGGAGGGAAAAAGAATTAACATTACAACCCTTGCAACTGCTGAGACCCAGAACACTGCCCATTCAAGCCACCTTCTTGCCCCAACCATCACTCAAACTAGTCCACCTCTCAGCACAGCAGAGGTCTTCCTTGAGACTCCTGCCATTGGTGGCCAGTGCCATCTGCCTCCTTTGGCCTGACCCAGGCCTCCTCCACCACAGGGTCTCCCAGACTTCATCATTCTTGCAGCTCCTTTGCCAGTCTCACCATTTTCAAAAACCATGTGGACCACTGCTTTAAAAATGTACTTACAAAGGAAAGCATATATTACTACTTCAAATAAAAATGAGTATGGCTTTACTAATTATAGGCAAACTTAAAATGAAATACAATGAAAACAAAGTAATAGTATTGTTAAAGTTTAGCTCCAAGTTTGCTATGCTTGAGGCCAGTTTTCTTAGTTAAAAAAGGGGATTACAGAGTGCTGGAGAGATGTTAAAGATATACTAGCACCAAACTGAGACTTTGTCCTTTGGGTATGAGAAGGATTAAAAAAGACATGAAAATGTAGACAATTAGATTTATGCCCTGTCCAAGTATTTCCTAAAATCACCTCATTTACTACTGGGTGAGGTCCAGACAGAAAACACTCTCCAAGGACGTGAACCTGTGCTGCTGTGTAAGGCACATTCAGATAACAGGGAAGCAGTGAGATCAGCAGGAAGGTCTCTGATCTCTCTATCTAGGACAGTTTCCCAAATACACCCCATGTACCCAGTTTGCATGCCTTAAAAACCTCAGCATGAAAAAAAGTCTTTCTCACAATGCTTAGGGAACCCAATGGTAATATTTCAAGGTGTCACACATATATGGTGGGGCAAAAGCAGGTTTACAATGGTTCATATGGAAGATAATACAATAATTAATAAATAATACAAAAATAAGTTCTGTTTTGCATACTCACAACTGTAAACCTGCTTTTGCCCCACCCTGTATATAACACCTGTGTCAGTCAAAAAGTACACTAACCTTAAAGACACAAGATATGGACACGTTCAAGTTTTGGGTTCACTACTGACTCACCAAGTTACCAAACTTCTCTTCGACTCGATTTCCCATGTGTGGGAACGTGGCTAACACTACCTTCTCTATCTTGAACTATTAAGATCAGATTTGTCAAGGAGATGCCAAAATCCTCTTGAAGTATACAGTGTCCTGCAAATACAACGGCTGTCACTCCTATAAAAGTTAGAAGAGCTGTTCCATAAACATTAGAGATGATCTGGGTATTAGGAGATGACTGTGGGGCTTCTTCCATCATTCCTCCAGCCAGAGCCCAGCACTCAGAGATGCTTTGAACAAACCAAGGGACAGCTCCAGGGGCTGGTGGGCAGCCAGGTTGCTCCACTCTTCCAACTTTCAAACCCTGGCCCTGTGAGTTGAAGATGGGGGATAGACAGGGAGCAGGCAATGCTGTGCTCCAGATTAGTCACTAAAATAATCTGTGCCATGGTGGTGAACACCCTGGCTAGCTCCTCCACAAGTTCTGATCACACTCTTTAGCGTGAATAACACCAGGAGGTCTCAACTTGACAGTGAATTAGTCCAACAAGAACCTCATGCTTGAAGAAGTATTTGTCCCACTCCGTAAATAATGCAAAGTAAACACAAGGAGGAGAGTGAATGTGCACTTCAATATTGCTAAAACTAGGCCACCACACCCAGCAAATGCCAGGCAGACAAAGGGCTGCTAGGAAGAGGGACTTTGGTTGTCTCCTCTATCACTGCCTCTGAAGCCATAACCTCACCACATCTGGAAACAATCTGAAAGATTAAAACAATGAAAAGGCAGCATGTTTAATCCCTCCTCTTCTGTTGCTTTAGTTTAATGTTAATTTTATAATTGTATTCTCTCACAAAATAAATAGATTTCAACAGAAAAAGGCACGATTCTGACTCAACCCAGGTAGTGGGACTTTTAAGGGTAATTTCCACTTCAGTTCCTTGATAGGAAAATGCAAAGAAGGGAAGACCTAACCTAAAGAGAAAAAAAACTTTTGGAAAACCATATCGGTTCGTGATTTTTACTGTACGCTTCATCAGTCAATACGTGTGAACCCAGCAGAAATGGAGCAGAGGGTCCTGCATATTTGCTTTACTCCAGACTGAGATGCTGGTCTGTCCCTTTATTGCAACATAAACAAAAGCAAGTTCAGAGATTTTAGATGTACCTACAAGGCAATCATCGTAGCCAAAAATAGCTCTAGAAATGTGGATGTATATATTTATTTTTAAGGGAACTTAGAGAGACTCTTATTTCTGTGGCAGAAGAGGTTGGCACAAAATTATTGGAAAGCTACTTGGCAAAATGTTTAAGAAATCTTTAAAAATCCTCCTTTAGCCAGTAATGTACCACACAATTTCCTTCTAAAGAAACAATCTAAAAGGGAAAGGAAATGCTCAGACTTCCCCACGGCTTCATTTGCCAAATGGAAATGTTGGAAACAACTTTGAAGGAAAAGATAGAGGAGACGGCCGAGTCAAGGAAGGCTCGTTGCTTCAGCATGGTGCAGCCTCTCTAGAGCAGACCACGCAGCACTAGACCATGAAGCAACATGGGAAAAAGCTTATAAAACAGCACAAAAGGGGAAAGCAGGATGTGAAAGTGTCTCTGCTAGTATTACAAGAGTCTAAAAAAGGGTGCAGAAGCCCAGAAGAAAACAGGAAAAACAGCTGGCAGCAACTATTCTGGTAGTGAGATTGTATAGATTCTTCCTCCAACGCCCTTTCCTTATTTGTTTTTGAAATACCAGGGGTAAAGAGGAAGCATGAGTGTTGCTATGAGACAGTAAACATTTATTATAAATGCACCACCTGCTGTCCTAAATCTGACAGGGCCTGATAATGTTCAATCAAGTACAGAACAGTTTTAACCCATTATCCAGGTTAATCAAAGCCCTAGAAACTTGAGGAGACAAATATGCATGGCACCTGACACAGTGAAAGACATTAACCAGAGTAACCACTTTCTGTTTCATTTTATTAGGAGGATGGGAAAGGAATACATCTATTAAAATGATATACTATGATGGGGATGCTGCCTCAGGGGTCAAGGTATGGCCCGCCCAGAGAGCAAATGCCCTGACTGATGACAGCAATCTGTTCAAGACCGGCTACTGCTTCCATGCAAGTTGTCCAGGTCATCAAGAGAGGCCAGAAATCCAGATTTATTGTGCAATCTCATTTTTAAAAAGTGGCAACTAATTTGAGTTTAAAAAAAATTACAAAGACAAAAGATTTGTAGGCTGGATGTGCCCTGCTGGTTGCTGAAGGAGTATTTTAAATACCCTAAACTAGGGGACGTGTTGACCTCTGGAGTCAAGTGGCCATCAAGATTCCATCTGAGGGCACGCGCATGTGCGCGTATGTGATGGGGGAGGGACAAGAGGAACTTGGACTGACTTCCATGCCATCTGAGAAGACAAGTAACACCTGCATGACGTACCTGAACTGTGTTCAGTCCCATTCTCACTCCTGCCTCACAACCGCCCGGAGGTGGCACCTTACTCCCTTTTGCAGATGGGTCATCTGAGGCTCTGACAAATGTCGCGCTTGTACAATGAGAATGATCAACTCCCTTTTTTGTCTTCCTCAGGCCAGCAGCTCAAACAGAGATACTCATTCTATCTGTGACAAAGCAGCTTTCCAGGCATTTCCTCAGGCCTGTTTTGGAAGGACAGGTTCCTGGTGATTCTGGGGCTGGTGTAACTCTGCCACTGCCATGCTGTGTTAGATGCCAGTCCTGACCACTGCCTACCTCACCACCATGCTGTGGTTTTAATGAGCCAATGGGCCTACTAACAATGCCTCTTTGTAGGGATCAAACCCGTGGCCTCATCGTCCCTAACAAGTGAAGTAATTGCTCAGGTGACTTGTACTTTCAAAGGTGCGTTAACTATTAATGTTACTAGAGTCCCACCCTAACAATACCTCTCTAAAACCCAGTGTTAACCTGTGCAGATTCAGGAGCTCTTGGTGCTAAAATCCACCTAGTAGAAGTAGCTATGTTACCTGGCAACAAAGCTGGCAGTCTTGTCAACAATATTCCTGACCTCTGGAGGAGGGTAAATAATCCCCACCACTGGCTTGGAAGGGGTAGAATCCTCCTTTGAAGATGCTTCTTCTTCTGTGGGCTGTGGAAAAAGAAAATAAAGTCTTGAAGTTCCTGGTCTGGGGCTGGACACCCAACCTCCCAGTTAAACTCTTCTAGGAAATTACTGAGAGCCATCAGACTCTCTCCTGCAGACTTCCTTCCTGTTAGAACCCTCTGCTCCAGAAGAGTGGTTCTCTTAACTTCACTGCACTTGCAAGGGGCTCTACTGGGGGAATCAGTAAAAAAAAGCAGCAGCTTTTCTGGCTCCACCAGCTAGACCGTGTCAGTGACACCAGGGATCTGCATTTTTATTAAGTGCCCAGGTGATTCAGATGCAGAGGGTCTCTGACCACATTCTGAGAAGTCATGTTCCAGAATCCAGAAGGCCCTCACACCAAGGGATGTGCCTGGCATGGGATATTTAGTGATTGCTGAATAAAAAAAAGGGAACTCCCTGAGGGCAGCTCCTTCTGCCTTAAATGCCTTTTCCTTCTGTATCCATTCCATAGCCTTAACCACCACTCAATGCTCAAATATTTTGTGAAACTGCACTGGAATACTCAACATTAATTGTCTGTAAGTTCTAATATTCTTTCCTCACCAGTCTTTCTTTAATAAACAAAGGGTCAAGTCTCTATTCTCAGAAAAATAAAGTTTCTCCCTTGCCCTCGTCTTCCTTTCTGCCACTGCCTTCTCCCCCACCCCCTTCCTCTGCTAGCCAAACATCCTGAGTAGTCTTGGGCTTGCTGCTCCCACTTCCTCACCTCCCATTGGGTCCCCATCCATTTCAAGTGCTCTTGCCAAACTCAAAAACAACTGCTCACAGCCAAGTACAGCGGTTATCTGGCTGTGTGATCATGACCACTCCTTCACAAAACTCTGCTCAACTTCCAGGCCCTATTCTCACCTGTCTTTCCTTCTTGCTCACCATTCCACCCAAGTTTCCGTCCAGGTTTCTCTTTCACCTCCTGCCCTATGTTAGGCGCCCCCCAAATTCGGTTCTTGGTTCTCTTCATAGTATTCACACTGTCCTCAGGCACTCACAGCCACATCCTCCATTCCCTCCACCACCTCTAGCCTAAACAATCCCATCCAAATTGATGTCCCAGATCACTTTGTACGCCAGCGCTTTAGATCAGCTGGTTCCCATGCACTTTTGTCACCTCTAACCTCTTTCCTCATCAACGGCCAAATAGGCACCTAGTCAACCAGTCCAGAAACCTGGGCCTCCTCCTCCTTCCTCAGCCTCCAAATTCAGTGACAAGAACAGAGTGGGTGCCACACACTTTTCCAAGCACTTTGTATATTAACCTTTATCACCCTTATGAGAGCCTTGTGAAGTAAGTGATTTAATTAGCCCTATTTTACGGATGACAAAATTAAGGAATAGAGAGCTTAACTGGCCCAAATGGCAGCAGAACTGGATTTCTAACACATCACTCTGGCAGGAGATCCAGTACTATAAGCCATTTTGTGACATGAGCTTGTCATAAAACCCTCTGCCACGCCCCCCAAATCTAGCCAGGCCCTCAGCATCTTTTTTTAATTTTTAAGATATTTTATTTTTTTTGAGGGCAAGGGAGAGGGAGAGAAACACATCAATGTGAGAGTGAAACATCGACTGGCTGCCTCTTGCACATCCACTACCAGGGCTCTAGCTGAAAACCCAGGCATGTGCCGACTGGGAATCGAACGCACAACCTTTCCGTGCACGGGACAATGCCCAACTGAGCCGCACTGGCCAGGGCAAGCCCTCAGCATCTTTTGAATAAAGTGACTAATCCTCCATCCTTGTAGCAATTCTCCACATCGTTGCCTACCTATCTGAATTTCTGAAACACAAATACGTCATCATCCTGCTTAAAATCCTTCCTTTTCCCTCTAGGAAAAGTTCAAATCCTTGGAATCGCATCTCCTGCCACCACTTTCCCAACACTATGCTTCAACCCCACTTATTTACCCTTGACCAGAGGCACCATCTGATTCCTATCCTGGTACTTTTCCACTTTCTATTTGGTATTACCGTGTTTATTTTCCCCCAGTGACTGGGAAAACACCGGGGCACTGAGCCACTTAAATATTTGTGGAAAGGGCATGAACCTCTTCTGTCATGTTCCCTGTTGTATTCTGAACCAAAGCAGTGGTCAGCATACAATATATGCTCAATGTTTGCGGAATGAATAAAGAATGCTCTTTCCTTTCCCAAAACCCACCTGGGAACTCCTGTTCATCCTTCTAAAAGCAATTTACCTCTAACTCCTGTGGGCTTCACCTACCTTAATCTGCCCACCAACAATGTTGATTAGATTGCCGTACCTGATGCTTCTATTACAGGGCAAATCATACCATACGGCAATTATTTACGTGCATCTTTTCCCCTCAGCTGATTGACATCTTTTTTTAAGGACTGGCAGGAACTGCATGATGTACAGTGATGGGGAGATACACATTTGTTGAATATTGACGTGTAACTGTCTCCTTACTAGTTTATAAGCTAGCTCTCTCGAAGGCAGCAGTTGTGCCTCATTCACCCCAGTAACATGGGATCCTGGCTCCGTGTCTGGCTCAGACTAAGCACCGAGTAGATGCAGAAGAATTAACACTGAAAGCTGTAACCCCGCAGGCTGGGAAATTAGGGATTAATGGGCAAAGGCTGGGGGACGGAAGGCCCAATGCGACAGTAGATGGCCTAGATCAGTGTTTCCCAAACTTTAAAGAATCACCTTGGGATCTTGTTAAAAATGCAGATTTCTATTAGAGGAGCGGGGGTGGAGACTGTATTTCTTTTTCTTTTTTTTAACATTTTATTTTTTAAATTTTATTTTTCAATTACAGTTTGGATTCGATATTATTTTGTACTAGTTTCTGGTGTATAGCATTGCGGCTTGAAAATCATATATTTTACAAAGTGTTCCCCCCTTATTTCCACCTGGCACCATACATAGTTAGTACAATATGTTTCCTATGCTGTACTTTACAGAGATTCCGCATTTCTCATAAACTACCAGATGCTGATGCTGCTGGTCCGCAGGCCACACTTTGAGAAACACGGTTCCAGAGAGCTGTGTACGCTGCCGGAAGACAGCGCGCTGCCTCCTGGGATTTGCAGTCCCGCCAAGCCCTCCAAAGCGGCCGCTACTTCCAGCAAAACTGAGGCGCGCCTAGGCCTAGGCTCGGGCTGCCGGTGGAGGTGAGGGGAGCACATTACCTGTTTGGGCTCGGTGGCCATGGGAGGCGGCGGAGGCACCGCCTGCACGGGTCCCGCCGGCATGACTGCGACGCTCAGGGCTGCCAGTCCGCCTCGGTGTAGGTGAGCGGTGCTGTGTCAAAGCGGTTTTCCCGCAGCGGCGATACAACAAGTTCGCAAGATGGCGGCAGCCGACAGAGTCGTCACCGAGGAGGCGAGGCTGACGCACTTCCGGACGCGCCCTTTTTCCCCAGACGTACTTCCGCTCCAGCCGAGAGGAGTGGCGGACGCCAGACGCCGTTGCCATGGCAGCGGTCGAGGCACCGAGTTAGGGTTTGCTGGGGTTCCCTGGAGCTGCAGGCGGGCCGGGGGCAATTCCATGAGCGAACCAGACACAGGGGCTGAGGCTGCGACACCAAAGACTGGTAAGAAGTTGTACATTACCCGCCGCACGCCCCCCACGGCCCTGGCCCCCCTCTCCTTTACTCCACGGGCCAGTTCCTCGCTCCCTCCAACCCCGCCTCCCAAGGCCCCAGCTCCCTCCCATTGGCCACTCACTTTGGAGAGCCCGCTGCCCTCGGGCCCGCCTCCTGAAAGCCCCAGCACCCTATTCCCTAAACCGCCTCTTACGCGTCTGGCCCACCTCCTGCAGTCCTCCCTTACCGAGTCCCAGGCTCTAATCCCGCTGCACCCGTTTCCCGTGGGCCTGCCTTTTCTAGGTTCCACCGCCTGCCTTCCGTAGTCCCACCTTCGAGCCCCAAGGACCATCTCCAGTTGGGGCTGCTGCTTCCGCCGCTCACCGTCTTTCTTCCCCGAGGAATCCCTCCCTTTTCGTTTCCACTCCTGAGGTCCTCTCCCTGCCCTCTCTCCAATCGTCCCCAACTTCTGAATGCGGGGCAGCTCTGAGCTCTTGCCTGGCCTTGGGATTCCTCATCTGTGAAATGGGGACGTGATAGGGAGGGATGCCTTCCCACGTCTCCTCCCGGGCTCGCTCTCTCTCACACATAAACTAGTTTATGTCATTGTTGTCATTCATGTAGAATAATAACGATAACCAGGATTTATTGAACATTACCATGAGCCAGACCCTGTGTCAAACACCACAGGCATTACATCATTTATTTCTTATAGCAACTTATTTACAGATGAGGCCAGTGAAGTTCAGAGTTGGTGGAGTGGGAACCCCAGCCCAGGCCATTCTTACTCCCCTACTAGTGCAGTTACTTATTCCTTGGCCTTCACTCAGTTTCTTCAGTGTCCCCAGGGGTCCAGGCAATTAGCAATCCTGAGTCAGAGACTAACAACTGCCATATACATGGTTTTAGAGTTTCAAAAGTGTATTTTTACGGTGGTGACCTTGAATCTCAGTGGGCACACTGGTCCGGAGATAGGCGTAATCTCTACCTGAGTCCTAGGACTCCGAGATGGAAGGGGCTTGAATGTTGAATGGGAGTGGAGGAAAGAGCTCCATCTCTTCTCCTCTTCTCCGTGAGTCAGAAGTCCACCTTGGGCCTGAGGGATCTGACCCTCCTGCCTCAGGGCAGTGTTGACTCAATTAGTGCCATCACCTAGGAGATCTCAGAAAGGAAAGCAGGGCTGGCTTCTTCAGGCTGAGGGCTCCACTCAAGACCCAGAAAATAGAAAGCCTGTGTCAGATGCTCCTTTACTTGACACATACCTAAGTGGTTTTCAAACCGTGTTGATATCTGCAAATCTCCAATGTTCAGAGAATGGACACAGGCAAACTGGGCTTTTTCTCATTGTTATGTTTTCCTCTCGCATGTTCTTGCTTCTTTGACATTTCTGCTGCTTATCAGAACCAGAATCTAACAAGAGTTGGAATCTCAGATGGCCCCAGATGGCAGCTATAGTTATTTGAGGGTGAACAGGTCAATGTTTCTTGACCTTCACAAGCAAGCTCCTGAGTTCCAGGGCCTCTTCCCATGTGGTGTTTCTTGCTTGCTTTATTTATTTCTAGCCTCCCTTTCCAGGAAGGAAACCCAGGATCTTTCACGCTGTTTTTTCTGTTTGTTTCTGCCTCATTCTTTGGGGACATAAAATCTCATGAGTGACAATATCTCATGAGAGGCAGTCACCAAGGCAACATGTGTGTGAGGCATGTGGGCCTGTGTGTGTTTGCGTGTAGATGTGAGTGTTGTGGGGTGGATTTTGAGACTTAATGCAAAAATAAAAACACCAAAAAAACCCAAAAACTAAAAATAATCTTAATAATTTTATATTAATTTCATGTTTGAGTGATAATATTTTGGATTCATTGGGTTAAATATATTATTAAATTTAATTTACCTGTTTCATTTTACCCCCCTTTTTTTTTTTTAATAACGGTACTAACGGCCTTTATTGGTTGCAACGGGAAGTGGAAAAGGAGAGGATATGACAACTCCGGCTCCTGGAGCGGCTTCACAGACTCTGGCCACCGTTTGAAAAGCTTGTTTTACTCTTTTAATGTGGCCAGTAGAAAATTGGAAATCCCATATGTGGCTTGCATTATGTTTCTTTTGCACAGAGCTGCTTTAGAAGCAACTTGGCCTGAGGACAGAGCAGAGATGTTGGACTCAAGATTCCTAGCTCCCTGAGTGACCTTGGGTTAACCCCTAACTTTTCAGAACCTTGAGTGTTGTCATCTGTACAAGAAAGCACATTTGGAAACTGGCACACAGTAGATCCTGTGGTCAGAGCTAGCACTGCTGAAGCATGCTGTCTGTGCTCAGGCTCAAGGCAGGTGACCCCACCTGCCCTTTTTCTCACTTTATTCCTCCAGCCTGGAACACGCTCCACTTTTTCTGGGACAGCTTCCCCTATGCCCTCCAGGAAGCTCTCCCTGAGTGCCCACCCACACACTCTTGCCTTCATTCATTCCCAGGGACTGAAGAGCTGCTTGGGGCCAGTCCTGCACTGGAGACAGGAAATCAGGCACCTGGATGAGCCTCTGACCCTGAGCCCCAGAACCTACAGGCTAGTCTGAGACTTGGGCAGGCACCTGTGCAGACATCCAGCTTCACAGGCAGGCACCTGCATAGAGGTGAGAACAGGGCATAATCCTCTGTGAGGCTGGAAGCTCAGCCCTCAAAAACTACCCCTTGGTGCCTCTGAGCTTGATAGCACCTGTGGGCACAGGGTGGCCCTCAGGTCCCTTGGTCCAGGTGGCTAGGTCATATCCCAGTGAACTCAAAAGACAGTCCATGTGCTCACAGGTAGAGAGACTGTCACCCACTAATAATTACTCAAATGATGGTTCAGTGCCAGTGTGGTGTGTCCTGAGATGGAAAAGAACAGGATGCTCTGAGAATGTGTACCAAGGGGACCTCACCTGGCCTGGGGACCTGAGGGAGGTGTCTTATCTAGAGGAAGTGGGGGGAGGGGGCACATTCTAAGTAGTTAGATGCTGAGGTGGGGGCAGATCATCCAGGGCTGGAGCCCAGGGCAGTGTTCTAGTCTTTTTGCTGTAGAAAGCCATTCAAGGGCCTTGGGGGAGTGGAAGGGAGTGAAGGAGTGAGTAGCCTTTTTAAATGATCACTCTGGCTGCCATGAGCAAGGTGCTGGGCAGAAGGAGATGGTGTGGGGCAGTATTGACGGACAGAAGTGGCAGGTTCTCAGTGTGGGTTGGATATAGGATTGGCAGCACTCTGTGCTTGGATGTGGGGTTAAAGGAAGGGGTCTCAAGGAAGTGCCCAGGTGCACTCAGTGGGAGTGCCATGTTCTGAGATGAGGGAGGTGGAAATAGGTTGGAGGAAGAGAGATTTCCCAGCTAGGTCTGGACTTGCTGGGGGCCAGAGGGGCCATAGCCTAAATACTAACCAAGCAGCATCTGCTTTGCAGGGAGGGGCTGTAGTACAAGGAAGCACTTTCTGCTACCGAGAAATCCACAAAAGACAAGGGGGCCCCTGCTACAGGGTGGAGAGGGACCAGGGCTCAGCATCCACAGGACTCCCTAGCTCTGAAGAGAATGTTGGCTCTGACATCAGCTGCCAGAGTCATGTGATGAGCCACAAGAGGGGCCAGAACAGTGTTGCTTCTCCACCTTCTGAGTCAAGCACCATGAACAGTACATCCAAATCACTGTCTTCAGATGCCCACAGACTCTGAAGATGGACAGGAAGCATTCTGTGTTGGCCGCAGGGACAAAGGGGAAATACGGAAGACAGACAGTGGCTCCAGACAAGGATGGTCTTTGCTGTTGTTACGCTAATAATATAATCACAATAGTAATAGTTACTATTCCCGGAGAATTTTCATTGGTGTCTTACTGTGAACCAAGCACTTTACTTGTAGACACCTTTAAAAGCCTCACAACCACCTGGCCTGATTGGGGAGGGGATGATGTCCGCATCTTACAACTGAGGCAGCTGGGGCCCAGAGGGACTTGCCTGAGGCCACGCAGCGAGGAAGGGGCTCTGTGTATCAATATATCATGGGTCGCCTGTCACCAGAGTGGTTAGGGTAGGTATCATACAGATTTTCACGGTTTCCTCTCGTACACCTTATGACTTGTTTTCCTCCCCAAATCAATGTATTTGAAAAGTTCTTTGTGGATTCTTCTTTTGCCCATTCAGTTCATCATTTACTTGCCAGTGAACATCTATAGTGGGCCAGCCCTCAGGCTAGCCACATTGAGCATGCTAGTGACTCAGGTGGACTGAGGACCTGGCCTGGGGAGGGGAGGCCATTCTAGCAGAGGGATCAGGGCTGAAATGGGGAAGCCCAGAGGGATTATCTAACCCAGCCTGGAGGGTGCTCAAGGAAGGCTTCCTGTAGGAGGTAATATCTGGGAACCCTGAAGGATGAGAGGAGGTAGCCAGGTGATGGGAATTGGATAGGGGAAGCATAATTTAGCTAGAGGGGACGGCCCCCTCAGGCATAGATACAGAAATGAGTGTCTGTGCATTAGCTACCCCATAGCTGATGGTAGTTGGAGTGGAGAGTATGAGGTAGAGAGGGAGGAGACTAGAGAGGTAGGAATGAGGAACATAGCCAGAGGAGGCCTTTCTCCCAAGGGCCATAAGGAGTCCTGGGGGCTTATTTGCCAGTGTGAAGTGATCAGATAGGGTTTGGCCCAGATCTCGAGCTGATGTGGATCAGATTGGACCAGGCAGTCCTGTGGAGGTGACAGTGGCCTGCTGTGGCCCAGCACTCCCTGTCACACTGTAGCTACAGCTATCTTTTAGTTGTCAGTTGCTTGTTCA